AGAGTTAGAACAATCTGTTTGAAGCCTAAATGTTGCAACCACAAAACGTTTTGAGTATTTCTAGCTGATTATGCATTTCAAGAATACCATGAATGGGGTACAATGCACTTATTTCACTTGTATTACATGTCAGGATCTCACATTTAGAAAACAGTCTGCCTCTTTGGACCAGAACTGCACACCCCAATTGTGTAAAACTCAAAGCAGAATGTTTAATTTAAACATCATTTAAAAAAAATAATTTAAAAAATCTTCCTCTACCCATCCTGCCCCTTTCATCTTCTGGTAAAATATGAAAGCTGGGCATTAATCAAATTATCTTCTCAGGATCTATGACTTGGATGTTGCTTTATTCCATACTTCTGAATTGTAAAGCAAAGTCATGCATTGTGTCCTTACGGGAGGTACCTGTAATGTTTATTTTGTGGCATATATTCTGTGCATGTAATTCTTGAGTACCTGTCTTCAGTCTCCGTTGGGATTTGCCTTTCCCCCCATTCGGTGTGTTGTTTGGTTTGTCCACCATTTTCTTAAATCTTATCTAAGTCTTCTCAAACCAGCAGTGGAGCACACTTGCACAAACAAAGGCTACAGGAGTATGAAACTCCCCAAAGGTATTATATGTATGGAAAAATCTGATTACCTGCCATAGAATGCTTGTTGGCCCACATCAATGCAGTCTCTCAAGACTGTGAGAAAAAATGATGCAGGAGAACAAAAAGTGAGAGGGTTTGTTAAGAGATACTGCAGAAGTCACACATCTCTGTATGTAGTTGTACATTTATGGCAGATGTGTTTGCCTCTCATTGTAGCCGCCTGGTTTTAATCCCACCAGCCCCAATATCTAAAGGCAATTTCTATATATTTTCGATGGGAATTTAGCTCCTGGCTTAATCACATTTGAATCAAGACTATTCTGTAGTGTAGACAATAAAAAAAAAAAAAATAGCACAAGCCCTCATGACTACTTTCCTATCATTCTCAACACTTCTTTTCTTGCCCAATTTCTCCACTGCTGTTACACGAACTGCTCCATACAGATATAAATCATAAATTCAATCCTACTTCTATTGGTCCAGGAAACCCCATTCACTCAAATGACTGCTCAGCCATGACAGTACATACAACTCATCTCATTTTGTTTATTTGCATCTGCAGCACAATATTGACAAATGGCCTGGGGGTGTTCTGCGATTTTCCTCCCAGATTGCTTTAATCTCCAAAGGAAAGTAGAATTTGCATGCACACCTTCCTTGTAAGTTTAGAACTTACTCCAAACGTTGCCCATCAGCAAAATCAACTTTGCAAGGCCTTTGCATGCTTCCACTCCACTATCCCAGCTGACCTTGGTTTATCTCTAGGCTGTTTGTGCAGCCTCTTTTGTAAGGATTCGTGGAGGCTAAGGCTGAATCTAAATAAAGCTTGCAAGGTCTCAGACAACAGCCATTTCAGTTGCAGTTACAAAAGCAGCCAACCTGAACGAGAACAAGGCAAATACTAGTTCTTTTGAATACTGAAAAAAACAGTTGAAAATTCTTGCTTGCAAATATCATACCTAATCCAAAGGTTCTTCCAATTCAATAAAATACTGGACCATTCAAAACTGGTTTCTTATACATTAAGTAGTTTAGTCCCAACAGCAATTGGGAACTATATCCATTGCAGCTTCAGGGCATTCTTCTGTGAAAGGACCAGGGTAATGTATGTATGTATGATACATACACACCACCGTCTTGCTCATTTTCTGTGCATATACGTCAATTCAATATTCTTTGTATAAGGGGATAAGTGTCACTCCCAGGAGAGCCTGTCACTTTTGTCTTTTCTAGTGCTCAGGGTGCTCAGTCTTACAGGATAATGACAATTCATTGGTGAGGAAGTATGTACTCCCAACATCCTTTGAAGGGTGGCTTGCCAACATTTCAGACTCTCTTTACCCACAGATTGCAACTTGCAGCAGTTTGAAGGCCATGAGATGCACACAACTTTTATGTATGCATTTCATATTACTGTAATTTTTTAAACTTACATTCTTATGCATGTCAGAGGAGGAATGGCAGAAGAGTGATGCAATGGGTAGGTCACCTGCCAGGGAGAAAGAGTGGAGCTTTGTTCATGTGGCCTATCAACACTTCAGGAAAAGACTCCACAGGGCGATGTTTGTGTTTAGGGGTAATGGTGAATGTCTCCAAGCTGACAACTGAAAAAGTGGATGATGCTTCAGTCTCTTTCTCTCCTCTGAAGTCCAAGAATACATTTCGCCCTTCTCCTCCTGGCTTTGCTCCAAAGGTGGCTCCAAAGACAAGCTGATGGCTGAATGTAAGGCTTCTATCCAGCTCTGGGACAGCTAAAGCATAGGGCCAGCTTGCCAAGCCACTTCTAGATCTTTGAGGTGGAATGTGGCATCAAGATCCCACGTGATTCTGGGTCTGAGTGAGAGACGAGAAACAAGGGGCTGCCCTGGGGAACACGTCACTCTGGCAGCTCTCCCCTGGGTTCCAGCCCTGGCAAGAAGGGTTCTGGAGGAAGGGAGGGAGAAGAGCCCTGTTCTCCCCAGAAGTAGCTGACCCCTGCCCCCTGCAGGATGGCAAAGGAAAAGATTAGTTTGTTGGCTGAATGCTTAGTGTGTTCCTTCTCCCCTAGAGTGACGATCCCAGAACACAAAATCTTGACTCTCCTGTGGTGAGTGCAAAGAAAAGCCATTTTCTTCTCCCAGAATGGACTCTGTTAACAGGCTGGAGGACGTTGATAGACTTGTCATCTCTCCTCATTTAGACAAGGCCGTGATCCAAATGTCCACCAGGCTTTAACAAAATGGAAGACTGGAGAACTGGTGTAGATGCTGACATGAATTACCTCCCCGTGAAAAGAGGAGAGGGGAGGGGGGGAGGGAGGGGGGTTCTCAAAGGGATGACAAAAATGAACTGAACGTGAAATACAACAATCTGTGGAGAAAGGAGAGTTCCTTATGTGGCCATTCCCCTCAGTCCACGAAGCAGAGCAGCATGGAGTCTGCCCCACTGAACCAAGACAGCCTGAGGTTGATGCAGCACTGAATGCCTTCAGTTGGTATTAGCAACCATCACCTTATTTTCTTCCCCTTGGCACAGATTATAGGAGCAAGGGCAAAGGAAGAAGAATGCATTTCTCCTCACTTTCTAAGTGAGAAACACAAGGGCACCTTAAGGCATGTAGGCCTTCTGAAGTATGTTTCCAGATTACCACCAGTTTTGTAAGAAACCAGACACTAGCCTTGAGCCCATACAAAATAAAACCAAATCCTAACACCACTCCCTCTATTATTCAGGGCATATGGAAGTCTGAACTAGCTAAATTCCTTCCTGCTTTCTGAAAGATGTTACCCCTT